CCTTTAATTAGGAAAAAGGAGTTAAGACAGCTGAGAAAACAGTCTATTCAGGAAGTCAGACATGTTTACTTGCAGTGTGATAACCTGGCCTTTGTAAATGTTTTGGTGCATGTGCTGGAGGCTGACAGATTTGGATATAATGATGTAGGATTTGTTTGCATGATTGTGTCTGATTTTTTAATAATCCAACTTCAGATGACTCTTTAAGTGCAATTTTTGACTATGTTAAAACACTGATGGAAAATGTTGCTGTTCAAATAAACGATGCGGGGCTTTGTACATGTGTCATCTCAGGTAGTGACCCCTTACTGTGTGTGGACTTCTTCATGGCATCTGCAAGGTTCATTAGTCCCATGACACATAACTTCCATTACATCCAAGCTTAGGGTTAGAAAAAAAACTAAAACACTATTACACTTTCTACATTTCAAATTGCACAATACGACAAATTATACATGAAGAATAATATGGGCAGAGACTCTGTGCATGTGCCTTCATACTTTGGAGGTTGCATCAACAATCACGTGACCTTTAGATTCCGATCGCCTTACTGCAGTGCAGTTTACTGAAATAACTTTAGTCAGCACGCACAGGTCTGGCACAAATGTGAGGTTCGAAAAGATTGTCAAAAATGCGGCGTTACAACATTTAGTGAACATGAATACATGACAAAAAGATTCTGCACTCTGATACTGCCATTTACCTAGGCTGTCTATATGACATAGGTTCTAGATACAGTACAGTACACGTGACAATATATGACAATAAGTGAATTCCTTTCTTGCCTCCACTGCTACAAGGCTCAATCAGCAACACTTATTTTGTGTGTGGGATGCAAATTGGTGCAGCATCGGTTTGCAGAGCAGAGTTTGTACAATTCAAACTAGCTTGAAAGTTAGAATTGTACTGCCTTTATTCCTTTATTCTTCAACACAGCTTCAATTTTCTTAGGCACGCTTTCTTTTAATTTCTCTAAGTAGCTCTACAGGCTTCTTGACAGCCATTTCAAAATTCATCCTTGGATGCTGGCTTCATTTGATCTGTTTTCTGTAAATGATCATGATCCCACAGTGCTCCAAGATTGTTAAGGTCATAATGAAAAATAAAGCCAGATGGAATTGCATGGTGGATCACAATCTGGTGGTAGTTTTCTGCTAATTTCACTGGTTTTATCTAGATCCCCGACACCATGGGCTGAAATGCAGCTCCAATCCATGACAGAGTTTCACAGTAGACTGCAGACACTCACTATTGGTCCTTTCACCTAAAACACTCCCTACATATTGATGGACAACAATTTAAACTAAAACGATCAAATTTGGATTCAATATTTCATAAACCCTGTTGCCACTAATTTTGAGTCTGTGCCTTACAAAAGATTAACAAATGAAAGGTCAGCAGAACCTTGAGACTCATACATGTCTCAAGCTGTCTTCAAAACAGAAAAAAGGAAACAAATAAAAGACAATGTGATGCACAGAATATTAATATTTATTCCAAGATTTGCATTATATGCAAATAATTACAGATATGTAAGAAAGACTAGGTTCTGCGTTTTTAAGAGGGTTCAAGAGATAAAGAGACACGAAGAGATATTACAGATAGAGATATTAATATTACAGATACTGAGGCTTCTTCATTTAATGGAAAACATGAATAAGGTTCTCACAAAGCTGTAGTGAATATTTCATAAACTAGTGTAAATACCAAGTGTGCATCATATTAATCTGCCAACACAGGAAAACGTCTTTACTGGGATTTGGAGTTCCTCGGTCAGCTTTCCTTTGCTAAGTTAGCTAGCTTTAGCTTTTAAAACATGCAAGTGCTCAGTCAGATTCAGTTACCAAGTGTCTGTGAATTAAATGAAGAAGTCAAGCTCTCTGGCTTTGTGCGTTCACGCAGTTGAACTGAAATGAACAAAGTACTGGATTGTCTTCTTTTCCAGCACAATGAAGACTTAAACCAGCACCTCGGGGTAAGGAGGTAACCAGGTTCACGGGAGGGTTGTTATATCCATTGTCACGGAGAATCCATAAAGCATGTGGCATTTCC